ACTATGTTCAATTTCGTAGTATGCCTCGTACAGCTCATAATTCCATCGGCTGCGGTATTTGCCGTTACCAACACGTAGTGGATCGTAAATCTTACACAAAATCTTTCCCTCGAAAACTTCTAACGCCGACTCATCTGATGTTGGCATCGTTCATGCTTCCGCACCATAAATTACGAAGGGAATAATAGAGACTTCTAAAATTTGTTCTGTTCGTCTAGAAAGGTCTTTACTTTGCAATTGCCTACTCAGTTCAAAGTAGCACTTATTGGCAAGAGTGATTCTGCATTGGATTTTAAGGCTGATATTGAAATTATCTACGAAGTTAGAGTTATGACTGTCAACAGTGACATGGGAGCCAAGTCGCAAGTGCAATGACTAACTATTTAATGACTGGAGGTACAATATTTCGATTTTCCCTCATTCACTACCAGACCCATTCGCTTTGCTGGTTTAAAATCAACGGAGAGGTGGTGGGTGTCGATACTCTTTTCACGGGTCTTTTCCAAGATTTAGCGCATGGTGAATATCTGGCCAATGGTGGATTTACCAGGTCTAAAGCCACACTGATAAGGTTCAATCAGTTTGTTGACGGTAGGCTTTAGTCTTTCACACAATACCCTCGTCAGGACCTTATAAGCGATATTAAGGAGACTTATTCTACGATAATTGGCGCAGACTGTGGGGTCCCCTTTCTGATGGATTCCAATTCCAATTATCGGGCATGCTTTCGTCCGACCATGCACCTTGTAAGCTCTTACCTGCCATATTTGAATAGTTCACTGAATTAAACCCAATTATTATTTAGGATTTTCCAATAAGAGGTACAATTTTATATAGCCTACGATGCCGGTAGTTCTCACTTTTGAAGATGGAATTTTTTGACTTTTGACAAGTAAAAATTGCGCCAGTCATAAAAATGACACGATACACACTTCACCAACGCATGGAAATTATTAAAATCCGCTATAAAAAATTCATCGAAAAATCATCCTGACTGATGAGGCCAATTTCCACCTCAATAGCTGCCTCCATAAACTAAACTGTCGCTTCTGGGGTTCTGAAAACCTAAGATGTATTGCTAAAAAGACTCTCCATTATCAATCTAAAACTGTTTCGTGCGGTTTATGGTCTGGCGGGGTGTTATTCTCTCATAATTGAATGGACTGCGCTAGAGAGCGATGATCAGAAACGTCTGATCACACACACATAGTGATCCGAATCTCATTTTCGGCAATTATTTGAAATACTTTCATAATGTAACGCAATTACTACATCTTCTATTTTTGAAATTGCTTTGAATTCGCCCACCGCTTTGTTACAGCGATAACCAATTATTAATTTCAATCCAGCGTAGGCTTATAAAAGCTTCATGTTACGTATTTACATTAATTGACATCGCTAATGTGTTTGTTATCGATATTTGCATTTTGATTATATTGGCGCCATTTTCAATTTAAATTACCCATCTAATACCTTACGAGTGCACAAGCCCGATAAAAGGCATCACATCCAAAACGGGGAATACTTTATATGTAACGATAAAAGTGCATATGTATGCACTCTGATGTATAAAATGTATGTACATATAAATGTAAACACAAATCTAAATGGTACTCTTGCATGTGCTCTTACATAAGTATGTATGTGTAAACATTGCAATGACCCAAGAAACCACTATCATATGTACATATATGCAAATACATCCCAATAAGCAGAATGAGTTCAACTCAAGCCTAATAGGTATGTATTTGCTTTCTCTGGAAATATCAGCGGTGTCGCGAATTAGCGAATGCAGTACTCCTTGATTGTTAGTGGCAAAAGGTTTTGGCTAAAAGATTAATCGAAAAACATTTAGTATTTCACTTTAAAGATTAATAGAAAATACAATGATAAGTAATAAATTAGTATTACATAAAATAATAAAAATATATATAGAAATAAAAAAGTCATTCAAAGCGTTGTATGAGTAATTTCAATTCTTTCGCCTGTTTTTCGATCATTTTTATCGGGCAAAAAAACACTTAAAAATTAGTTTCATGAAAGCAAATTTTTCCGAGATTTTCTCGGAATTCAAGTGACGAATCTGAAAAAACTACATCACAGTACTTTACATAATATGCACTTTTCTGTTTATTGGGACGCCACATAAATACAATAAATATATGTAAGTGCATAGGCAATGCTATTGTCATTGAAAATTCTCTCATACGTGTATGTATTTTGAGATCATACATAAATTGGTTGAATACTCTTTGAGTATTTTTAATTTCAATGTAAATAAAAAAGTTAACATTAATTAAAGTTAAATTATTTTAAATGTTATATAAATTTACAACAAATGTATATGTATGAACATATTTGTTACATTTAACTTACGTGTAAGTTAAGAAACATAGAAATACATATACGTAGGATTGTATGTATGTATGTGAATTGATGAGGTATTTTTATCATTAAGAAAATATTTGGATATTTGTCAATCAGATTTGGTTATAAAATTTTCCAGATCCACAGAAATCATTTTAAGCAGATTTTTATTGAATTTTAAACGATTCCTTTTATTTAATAATTATTTTTTTCTCTTTTTTTTTTTTAATTCACGGGCGACTTGCAGAGCTTGATGTTTATTCACCGAGAGGGGCCTTACTTTTCAATTGCCTACTCAGTCCAACGTATAACCAAGAGTGATTCTGCGCTGAATTTCAAGACAGACAATATTTTTGGTATTAATACTGATTCTTAGGTAAATGAAATTATCCATTCGCTTCGCTTTCTTGCTCAGTCTGATGAAAAGCAGAACTCTGGATGCGGTTGTTAATGACTGCAACATCAATATAATCGGTATACACCCTCAGTTGTATGCTCTTATTGAAGATTGTGTCGTCTCTATTTAGCTCTGCAGCTCTTATTATTTTTCCCCATTATCCAATTTGAAGAGTTCGCACCAATTCACACAATAAAAATTTATCCTGCCTGAAACCTCGTTTGGTATCGAGCGGCTTGGATAGGTCCTTTCTAAATCTGGTGATGTGCTGCATCGCTTAAACATCCGTATAAGTTTCAAGGGGATACCAAACCCAGACCTAGCAGTGTACGTGTATAGCCAGCTCATTTTCGTGCCATCGAAGGCTGCTTTAAGATCGACGAAGATTTGGTGTGTTTTGAGCCTCTCTTCACGGGTCTTTTCCAAGATTTGCCGCATGGTGAATATCTGGTCAATGGTTGACTTACCAGGTCTAAAGCCACACTAATAAGGTCCATTCAGTTTGTTGACGGTGGGCTTTAGTCTTTCACACAAAACGCTCGATAGGACCTTATATGCGATGTTAAGGAGGCTTATCCCACGGTTGTTGGACAGAGTACACTTAGGTCCCAATCGTCGGCCATGCTTTCATCGGACCATATTTTACAAACAAGCTGATGCATGCAGCTTGTCAGCTCTTCATCGCCATGTTTGAATAGTTCAGCCTGTAGGCCCTCAGCTCCCGCCGCTCTGTAGTTTTTTAAGCGGCCGATTGCTATTCGACTTCTTCATGGTCAGGTAATGGTACGTCACTAGATCACCCCTCTGGGTTCTACAAGAAACTTTTCGTATGTCGTCGTATCTTCTCATTGAAGTACCCTTGACGTCCAGCTTCTCAAGCTTTTCGTACTTGCGCATTTGGGCCTCTTTCTTTTTTTGTCTGCAATGCGTCTTTTTTAAATTTTAGTCACCACAAAATAAAATTCAAAACTTTCACAGAAACATATTTAGCACGAAAACACACCCAACTAAATACTAACGGTTTTACTCGAAATTTAGAGACACGCTCGTGCCTGCGGTGCGTGCCTATCGTCAAACTCGCTTTTTATTCCATTCCACTCTTACTGCAAGTTTTTTCCTTCGCACAGCATTCAACTAAATGTGTGTGCGTGAATAAGTGAGCTTGTATGTGTGGAAAATATGTGTTTTGTTACTCATAGGTTTCTACAATTGATAGTTCAATTTGTGGCACCGATAACATTTGAATTTAGGCTTACGAAAAAATCTTACAAGACATGTTGTTGTATTTTACACGTTTAGCTAGCAAAAAACTCAGGAAGTGAAAAAGTATGTTCACCATGCCATTTTTTATGGGAAATCGAAAAGTGCATTCCGAACAGATTAGCGCTGATTAGTCAATTATAATTCATTTCATGACATTTTTATTCACATACCGATCTACGCGGTATAATTTTGCACATACAAATTTTTCACACTTCAAACTTCCATGGGAAGGAAAAAATAGTAAAAATCTTCCATCTTCATTAACAGTAAACACTAAGAAAATATAAATTATTATATGTGCATATACATACATACATACGTATGTAAACATGTATTGTACATAAGTATATGTATATGTTTATTTACATAACAGGTGGTCGGATTATTGCAGATTCATAGCAAAACCAAAAATTAATACCACAATGTTTTCAAACACAGTAACAAATCCGTTTAAATCCTTCTGTGAAAAACCAAAATATTGTTTTCATCATCGTCAGCTTAAAATCCACGGGGCGCATGTCCAATTATGTATATAGAAATGCAACATCATCTTTGCATATTCATTTGAATTCTAAACGAACACTTAACATACATATATACATATATACTACATATGAATATACAAATGAGAGGCACAAAAATATATTGCTAACAAAATCAAATACATTAAAAAAAAAAATATGAAAATACATACATACTTATGTACAATTAGTCGTCTGGCAGTACGGTTAGAATGCCTGTGAACTGACCTTTGGTGAAGATTCCACACACATTCGTACATATATTGGTATAAATACATACATGTACAAATATTTGTCTGCTTAAATCATAGGTAAACGAGGGAAGGCACATTCACTGATTAACTTTGACAGCGATCATCACTGAAAATCACTCAAAAACCACAAATCCAACATTGAAACGTCAAACTGATTATTGTCTCCTCCTCTTCTTCTCTTTCTTTGTGTCTTTGCAGCACCAAAACTACCTGCCACTCTGCACGATTATCAACTGAACGGGCGTCAGCTAGAGATTTGCCGTAGCGGCAGTTTACCCGTCGGCCAGCAGACACAGGCGAGCCTTCTCTTAGCGGGTGGCAATGGCAACACGTCGGGTCTGGGTATTTGTCCGCCCAATATGGGTAGTTGTAGCATGAGTGCGACCAACAATTCGGGACGTACAAATTTCACCAACAAACAGTTGACAGAATTGGAGAAGGAGTTCCATTTCAATCGCTATTTGACGCGTGCTCGACGCATCGAAATTGCCAATACGCTGCAACTTAACGAGACACAGGTGAATATATTATAAAATACCTATGAATGCAAAAATCTAGTTAGTTTCATAAGCGATGCCGTTTAGTATGGTTCCAAATTTTTGCAACGGTTTTTTTCTTATTTTATTTTACAGGTGAAAATCTGGTTTCAAAATCGTCGTATGAAACAAAAGAAACGAGTCAAAGAAGGTTTAATACCCGCAGATATTTTGACGCAACAAACCCTCTCAGCCGCTGCATCAACAACAACAGCAAATAGTAGCGCCCAAGCGACAGGTTCAGCGAATCCGGCTAACAGCAGCAGTGAACATAATCACATTGGCCCAACTTCCAGCGGAAGTGGACACAGTGCAACTAGCTTAGGCACATTGGCCGTCAATAGTCGCGATGCTGCCTCACTTAGCATCAACAAAGGCAATGGCAATAAGAGCGGCAACAACACTAATCTGAATAGTGGAGATTGCAATCTGACAGTTAATAGTGATAATAGCCGTGAATCAAATTAATGCCTTGACTAAGGTAGTCCTAGTGATACTTTCATTCTGAGCGGCTTGGAACACATGCAGAGCTTACATATTACTGTAGTTTGCAGCATGTGGTAATGTGGTTAGTTTAATTTGCCAAATGACTAATTTCTAGGTACACTCACAACCACATTGGAGGTAAAACAAAATAAATAAAATAAACATGCGACTAGACGCATTTGCTCATTTGGCTGTGATAACAGTTAAAGTACATAACAATATTAATTATTCAAAACAATTGTTTGTGTAAATTTGGAGTTTGCTTATCAGTTTAGGTTTACACAGCCATGCGATAATCAAAAATAGATTTATGTTTATGTATCAAGGCCATCATTACTTTTCAGGTCTTTAAGTGCGTTTTAAACCAAAGCTCACTTATGATTTGAGACGCTTTTAGCATGCTCGTGTAGAACTATGAATTTGTAGAGCCTGCAAACTCAGCTGAAAAGTATTTTAGCATATTACGGTATCGTTATTGAGCAGGAAGTCATGAAATTGTGCCATAATAATAATGTAAAGAAGATAATGTTTGATTGAAACATACAAACTATTTTGACGTTGAGGTCTGAATATTTAAATTGTCAAAAAACAGGTAAGGAAGAGCAAAAATTCATATTCCCTCTTTTAATTAAACTCGCTTTTAAAGCCAAACTGATGGACGAGTTGAAGATCCGACAAACTGGGTTGCCGGATGTATTCCCTAAATTTTCACTGTTTAGCGCGCAAAATAGCTAAAACCCCTCAGTGGTGTTACAGCATCAAAATTGAACATGAATTGCTTAACGGGTTACACATTCGGAATTTTGATTTGCATATCGGTTTCGTTTTCGAAACTGAATTTGTTAGATTTAGCATTTTACATAAACTGATTTATCGATTTAAAATCGAGCAATTAATCGTTGAAAGAATTGTCTGCTAACTTCTTTGCAAACGGAAATTTAATAAAAATGGCGTCACGAGCTCTCCGTTTTTCATTGTTGTTTATCCGCTGTTCAAAAAGCTTTAGCACTTCTGTTAAAACCATCGAAACTTTAGGTCGTTCCAAGCAGATATTTGAGTCATTACCCACAGACTGTTAATAGCAGCCTTCCGCAAAAACCCGCAGTGTCGCTGAAAGTTGAAGCACAAGTGGGAAATACGGCCTATATAACTCATCTTCAATGACATCCAGCGCTTTTACAAAGGCTTCTTTCTTAAGACGATATCGGTCTATGACTCAACATACAAAAAAAATTGTGCATCAGCAAAATGTAAAAGTATAATAGAAATTGCACTTACATCGACCCCGGTAGCTCCAGCGTATTGCTTACATTCCTTAAAATTTTCCGATTTATTTTCTCTTTGATTTCTCCGAATCCTTCTACCATCACAAATGCTATCTGAGCTAAAGTCGTTATATTTTTAATTAAAAATCACGAATGTGTTAAAGCCAGTAAAAATAATAAATTAAATTGCTGGGTGTGTTTTATTCACGAGTTTTTCTTCCAGCTGCGTTTCGGAAATCTTATCTTCGAAAAAAGCGGACTCAAGACGGTTTCATAAAACCATTTCAAAAAGATATTGATTTTCTATACCGATATATAAGCAATTCAGTGTCGGTTTCTATAACACCCCTGAATAATTATTTTATTTTGTTGGTGCACATGATTGTGGAAAAATACACATTTTTAGTAGATTTTATTCTTTAAATGCGTTAAATCATATGCGATATCGGAAACAAGAAATTGTGAAAATATATGTAACAAATTTAACTGCCAAATGATTTGTGAAAGAAATAATTGAAGCCAATAGTATGAGGAATTTCCATTTAAAAATGGATGCTACTTTCTTATTTATACTCAGAATGCCATTGTTGTCAAACAAATCTTACTTTATTTGTGTTAGTGAAAGGCTAAACTATCGCGAAATTCCTTCGTTACAAAACAAAATGAAATTGGTAATGTTGAAACAGCACAAACTCAGTGTTAACGTTAATTTTAAAATCGCTGCTTGCTATGATTTAACAGCACACTTCAATTTTAACATTTAAAATTATCTGTTAATGATTTAATATTATCTGTTAAAGATTTAACATTATCTGTTAAAGATTTAACATTAACGACAGCTTTTCTTTTCGACTAAAAACGAAGTAAAATTTCTTTAAACATAAAATTTCCAAATTTTTCAACAGTAACGATTGAATTTTATCTCTACAATGCAGCCTTGGCATACAACAAAACATTAAATTAATTTAGTTCAATTACCCTGGATCAATTTTATTTTCCTAGTTGTTATCTATTGATATAGGGACGCTCTCCTTCTTCTTCTGGTATCCACACGCGGACCAAAGGTATAAGAGAATTTCATGTTCAGACTTACGCATTTTGTTGGTCTCTTCAAGATTATGTGTGAAGAAACTGCTAAACAATCATATAAATACAATGTTACTTTTGTTGTAATACAACATATTTTACTGCACATTATTAAGTATTTTCATTTTGCCGAGTTTTGTGTAAAATACATATGTACATATACTATACAAGCTCCACAGATTCGTTTATAAGCTTAGCTAATTGCCATTAAAATAATAATAGGAATAATATAATATTAAAAAAAGGTAAACAAATTTCGAAATTAATTATTAAGATATTATGCAAAATACAAACTCAGGGTTTCGCGGAAAAGACACATTGTTATTTTTCTAATAATAAGAAAATAAAACATTTTCTGCAAAATTAGTGAATATAATTAAGAAATAAATACAATAATCAAAATATATTATTATATTATAATAAAGAGACATATTTATTTACTTTGAAAAAAAAAATAATTATAATAAAGTATCAATTTTCATTTAAAACTTTTCACTTTACTGACTATTGTACACAAAATATGTCACAAATAATAAATTATAATAAATTAATGTTTTATCTAAATTCCGTCTTAGGTAAATACTACATGGTTATTCCTAACATTCACTTTTTGTTGTAAATATGTTAACTGAAAATCATTTAAACTTAATATATACAAGCATATACATACACAACTATGTATGTATATTAAAACAAACTAGTCCTAATTATAATATACAAATGTATGCTTAATTATAAATTATTGAAAAATAAAAATTGCATAATTTTAATTGTTAAAAAAAGCACATTTTTAATAAAGGGATAGATCAAAACCGAAAATTCAAAGAAAATTGTTCACTATACATCCATTTTAACCCTTAGCGGCCACACCTCAGTTTCGTCACTTAGCGGTCAGACAGTGCCCTGGAAAAACGCAATTATGTAAGTTTTATAGATATTTTAATTATTTCTGAGTATCAGATCATATTTTTTAAGCTGTTTTTCAAATTTTCTGACGATCTAAATTAATTAATTCATAGATGATGCTGTGAAAACTGCTAAGATAGGTGAAACTTCCCAAAAAAGGTCTTTTTTCCGTGGGTTTGCCGTCTGTTAGCTTTTGGCTATGCAGAGAAATTAAGTTGATAGATCAAATAGGCGATTGAAGCATACTTGTCTGGTTGCGATTTGATGTACATACGGAATAAACAGCGTTCCCTGAATGCCAGCAATTGTTCGTCAACAGTACATTTATCGCTTGGGTTATAATACTTTATGCAGTTATTGATGAAAATGAACTATCCACATTTCACCAACTACATTTCATCAAAACTGGAATTATAAATATATATATTTCTTAATACCAGAAACTTACCTCTATTTACTTAATTCACATAGCAAATACTCGATTCGATGAAAAAAAAAACGCAATCGATTTATGGTCATGAAACAATTGGAGCGGCCAGAATGGAGTGATTATTTACCCCGGTCGGGAAAACGTTCGCTCACCATGCTTTTTTTTCTTCACTTAACCAGCCAGGGCACATCTTACACTTGTCGACTACCGACAAATGTCGTTTGTTGTATTAATTTCGAACGTTTAATACCTCTAATTTCACTTCTCCGGAGCCCCGGTGGCCACTAAGGGTTAATTTAGCACGATTTTGGAACTGGAAAAAATCTTTTCCATGTCTTGTACTATGTGCGACAACCGAGCAAGGAGAAAACTGCTCTGTATTTCTATTTCTGAAAATAATGGAAAAATAATTATCCACGACACACGAGGAAGCGTCTTGTTTATTAAAGTAAAAACATAATTGGCAACGGCGGCCGCAATGGCTAGTGTCTAGCAAAGCATACAACGTTGCGGAAGGTATTGAGTTGGTGTTTTGGGCGGACCAACATCTAAAAATATAGTAAATTAATTTATGTAAATCAAATGAAAATTAAAAAATGTAATTGTGGTTGACATTTAATAGAAAGCACCTCATAAAAATTCATCAGGCTTTCGGACATAGCTTAGAATAAACTTCAGGCCGAATATCGCTTCAGCGGTTACAAAGTGTCTATTATAAAGGGACGCAATTTTTGATGGACACTCGTGTATTTGATTTTAATAATTCCTTCATATTATCATCGTACTGAACTTTTAACTAGTAACGTAACTGTGAATGGTGAGCGCTACTGTGAGATGCTATCAAACTTATTTTCGCCCAGAATACAAGAGCTTGACTTGCATTACATTCGGTTTCAAAAAGACGGTACCACATGCGAAACAGTGGACTTATTGCGGAAGAGTTCGGAAAAAATTTTATTTCCCGTTCGGTACCGGTTAATTGCCCGCCTAGATCGTGTGATTTAACGCCTTCAAACTATGTCTATACAGACAAGCCCGTTTGAATTTGACGCATTGGAGAACAGCATAAAGGCATTTATTCGTGAGATACCGGCCGAAATAATGGAAAGAGTATGCCAAAATTGAATTAAGCTATCGATTCAAATAAAGATTTCTTGCATTGTTCTGAATTCTATGTATTTTTTTGAAAAACTTCCCTATAGCTCTTAAAAGATCACCCTTTACAAGGTAATTAGTAGTGCATTTTGGTTTGATCTCAGTTTCTGAAAACCCCTTGAAATCTGCAGCTGAGCTCAAAAAACAGCTTAAAGAAGTACTCGACATTAGTGCCGAAACCATCCGTCGTTTATTCAGAGCCAACAAGGCGAAAGCAAAAAAAAAAACCAAAATCGAAGGGTTGAATTTGCAAAGCAAAATATTGAGAAGAATGCATCTTATTCGTCTTCGGTGAACTATACATATATCAAGGTAATCTGTCAGATTATTTTAGTAACATTAATTTCTTAAAGCTTTGCCGTTTACATAGTTTTGGTTAAAATTCAGTTTGCTGCTGGAGAAAATAATAAAAACTGCAGATCTGAATAAATAAGGCAAAATCTTTTACCAGAGTGTACAGCGGCTTTAACAACCGCACCGTTAGTTCCGCTTTCTCCAGACTTGATAAAGAAGCGAAGCAAATGGCTCTGGTAGTGAACGTATCTGTAATCTCATTCGTTACTCGCCTCATACGTCACTGTTGACAGTCGGCTCTGGAAGTTTTTGAGGGGAAAGTATCGGTCCTTTCCGTTTTGTCGACAACGAATCAAGAAGCAGCGACCACGCTGGCTAGATTATGTGGTCCGGATGTATACGAATACTCCAGCGTTGAAAGTATTCGATGCAATACCCATTGGTGGCAACAGAAAAAGAGGGAGACCTACATTCCGTTCCGTTGGAAGGATCTGTTGGTGAGCGACCTGGTTTGACTGGCGCTAAACAGCGAAAACAAGGGACGAATGCGCAGAACAAAATTATAAAATCACTGAATGATGACGCCGTACCACTTTATCATGTTTACAGTAACTCCATAAATATTATTTTCAATAATAATTTACTTTCTCTCTCTCTCGCTCTGATTCTTCTAATCAGAGCCACTAAGAGCATAAGATTCGGCGTAACAACCGGTAAGATGAATATCTTTTATGTCAATATCATTATTGGTACTTTAGTTACGCTTGTGTTTACTAAACGACTAAAAGTGCCTTCGGCGATTTTGATAATCTCTAAATTAAATGAGCAAAGCAATGCGATCAAATTTTGTTTGCTGAACGAATTTGCGGTTGCTCAAATGTTGAGGATGCTACAGAACGCTTTTGGGGACTCAACTATGTCGCAGAAGAACATGTATGAGAGGTACAAAGACTTCAAAGATAGTCGGAAGCGTGTTTATGACTTGGACCTCTCGGGACGACCATCAACGTCAACTGATGTGCAACGCGTCAATGAAATTAATGCTCAAAAATCTTCGATTGACTTTTAGATACCTTACTGATATGGTTGGAATATCAAAAGGATCTGTAAAAACGATTTGGAGGAACTATTTGGGCAAAAAAAGACCAGAATTATTGGCCAACAACTCTTGGTTTTAGCATCACGATAATGAACCATCGCACAAAGCACTCAATCTTTGTGACCATTTCGCAAAGAACTCCACGACTATCGTTCCCCAACCACCGTATTAGCCGGACTCAGCACCATGTGACTTCTGGCTCTTCCAAAAACTCAAAAGACCATTTCGAGGACGCCGTTTTGTGCCGATTGATGAGACTAAACGGGAACTGCCGCGCTTTCTGAATATCAGAAGCATCTGGAAAAACGATTTGGAGGAACTATTTGGGCAAAAAAAGACCAGAATTATTGGCCAACAACTCTTGGTTTTAGCATCACGATAATGAACCGTCGCACAAAGCACTCAATCTTCGTGACCATTTCGCAAAGACTCCAGTCGAAAACATTGAGAATAATAACGGTCGGACCATGTCAAGGGCGACAAGGACGGAAGAAGGTGGGTCCTTGTGACATATACTACAGCGGCCATATAAAGGAGCGCATATTTGGTGTCGGATTTGTGGTGGGAGAGACACTCGGTAGCAGACTACTGGCATTCACCCCGATGGATGAACGTCTCGCCACAATTCACATCAAAACCTAGTTTTTTTTAGAACTACGCTGATTTGCGCCCACCCACCGACGAAAGAAAGGGACGACTTCGCCGGGACTCGAAATACGGTTGTCTATCGCACTAGATGCCAGCACAAGAAAATTTACAAAGCTACTTTGCTG